ATTATATGCTGAGAACTCTCAAGTTCAGGTAATTAAATATAATTATGATCATTCCAGCAGGGCTTAAAATTCTTTTAAGCCAAATATAAAAGACAAGCATTTTTTTTCTTTTTCATACAATTGGTATTTTTTAGGCTCAATGAGATTGTCAAATAGCTCCTTAAAATGGTATATGTTGCTGGGGAAGGACTTAGTAAATTCTATAACAGGTCTATTTTTACATTGTTTTGACCTAAATGCATCATATTAAGAGCATTTGTTTTTAAGTTGGGTATTGCTTTTTTTGTGGATACTGCAGCACTCAAGTTTACTGAAACAACTAGATGCAGAGGTTGGAGGGAAGAGAAAGAAGGGCGGTGGTTTTGCTCTTCTCTCCTCCTGGTGAGAAAAACAGCTGTAAGTTTTCCTCATCCGTTTGCTGTTGGGTTATTTATTATCATTGGAGGCACTCTTTCTCTGAATCGCATTTCAATAATTCTGTCGTGTGCCCTTTGATTCTCAGGTTTTCATTAGCTAAACCTGGAAAGCCATGACCTTCATGAGCTGGCACGTGCTTTCTGGTCTCACCAGCTTCTATTTCAATAGCTACACGGCAGAAAATTGTTTTGAGTTGGTTTTTCCTCCAAATCTTGGAAAGTTTGCCTCATTCTCTTTGGTTTGAAGATCATTTTCAAAATCTGGAGTTAATCATAGTACAACATAAGCTGCAATCTCTTCTTCATTAACTTCTTTTTTTTGCTAGCGCGGTGGCCACATCCCCTCAGGTCAGTTCCATAGAATTCAACAAAAATCTAACTTTATTACCAAGGAAAATAGTCACAGCTTCTCAGTGTTTTAAGGAGGGAATGGGGAACAGAGTTTATTGTAACATTCACCCAAAGGCCCAGCAGTACTTATCATTTCACCTATTTAATACTCACCCAACTTTTCTTTCTTTTCTTTCATCTCTTTTTTGGAAGAGTGGGGGGGAGGAAATGCTTCAATAATTAATAGATCTGGCATAGTCTCTTCAAATATACTTTTTAATGACAGACACATCAGAAATGTTCACATGGAAGAAATGTGAACACATTCATGCAAGTAGCACCCAAAACAAGAAGCACCCCAAAGATAGCACCCTTCAGAAGCCCCTTCTTCATCCCAGGCATAATCCCCCACATGATAACTCTGATCTTTTCTAGTACTATGTATTCATTTTGCCCATTTTTAAACTTTATATAAATGATCTGCCTGTCTTCTTTCCTTCAACATTATAATTATGAAATTTATTTATATTGTTGCACATGGCTAAGTTTGTTCATTTCTCCTGTCTGTATAATAATTCATCATGTGAGTAGTAATCCGTTTTACTGTTGATGACTGTTTGGCTATTGTACTTGGTGCTGCTGCAAACATTCTCGAATGTTTGTATACATTCTGCTGGATCACACGGTGAGCATATGTTCAGCTCTAGTAAATTCTGTCAAACTGACTACCAATGGAAGCATCAGTTTACACTCCCACCAGCAGTGTACGAAGGTGGAGATGGTTCTGCATCCTTGCCGCATGTGGTATTATCAGTCTTTTAAATTTTGATCCTTCTGGTAGATGTAGCCTTAATTTTCTTTTTCCTGATGGCCAATGAGCTCAATCACCTTTTCAATTTTGGCCTCTTGGGTATCATCTTCTGTGAACTGCTTGTTCAAGTATTTTGCCAATTTTTGTTATTTTTTCTTTTTTCTTTGCAATTCTATATGTATTTTGGATAGGAGATTTTATGTGTGGCATGTATTTTCTCACAGACTGTCGTTACCTTTTTATTCTCTTATCAATGTCATTTGATGAACAGAAATTCCATTTTAGTGTAGTCTAGTTTCTCAATTCTTTTCTTT